GTGTTTATATAAACAAAGCTTAAGGAAAGAGAGAAGGACGGTGTTGGGTGAGTTATGGTTACGTGTCAGAAACGCTGAAACATTTGTGACGATTCTTCTACGTAATTTTGGACGTTTTATATAATAAGACTGACATTGGAAAATGAGAAAGAGAGTTTTTTACAACGATTGAAAGACCAAAAGGTTGCCATGTGGACTCTAGTCGTTGGTAAAATAGAAGATTCTAGTGGATATCCTTTAGATTACATTTTTCTCTAATCAATCAGTCGTCGTTAATAGTTATGCAAACGCATTACACTCGTGTTCCATTAAATAATTAATATAAAGCTTACACGTTTTGTTATCTTTTGTTTTCACTCTTGTATTGTCATAATTTTGGCCCTGGTTTATATGGGTTTGTAGTTACCCTAGCTTGCGTGGGTTTGTCTGTACCCTTACGCAGCTTTGTATCCACCAAAAGGTAGGAAGGATGTTGTATCCCTTGATAGGTAACTTCCGATAAGTAATACAACTGAATTTACCGACAAAAAAAAAAAAAAATTTGGCCTTAGTGTAAGCAATCTTGTGAAATGTAAGTCTTTTTATTTAACTTTAACCGGTTAGTATTTGCGTGGAATGTTGTGGAACTGAATGGAATAGTGTGAAAAATTGTGCATATGAGTGGAATGATGTGGAATTTATAATGTTTTTGAGTTTAAATATTTTCATTTAACAAACTACTAATATTACAAATAAAAATTATAATATTTATAAAATGAGCTAGATAATTTTTTAAAATATATTATTTTTGTAAAACTTATTACATTTATAAATATAAGTATTTAATTTCGAAAAACATAATTTTAATTAATATTTTCATATGTTCATATTTTCATTCGTATTTATAAATATTTTTAAAAGTTTCGCTAAACTTCACCGGATTCAAATGTTACTATTTGAATTCAAAGTTGTCCTCTCAAATTCGGTAAAAAATCACCAAAAAATATGCGAGTTTCTGCAAATCCGCTAGATTTATCTGTTATCATTTATCAGATTTTATCGTATTTTACAGATCGACTAGAATAATAAATAGTTTTTTATTTTATTTTGCAAATAATACAATTCGCAGGATCCTGAAAGAATATACCCAACTACTTCATTTAAATTAGAGTTAATTACTAGAATGACTTTGGAAAGTAGGGTAATTACTAGAATGACTTTGTCAAATCTAGTAACTTGACACAACTCGATAAAAGACAAATAAACTTTAATAATCTATTTTATTTACGCAACTGCCATCCTGAAACCTAAAAAAAAAAAACTTATAAATCTATCATAACTACCCAATAAGTCTACCACCACATGTATACGTTGGAAATTCTTTAAACCAATAAATAAAACATTTGTTTGAAACCACCGTCGCGGAGGCTGCGGAAGCACCRGATCATGCTCRGCGAAGGTGGAGAGGCTGCAGAAGCACCGAGATTTAGGTAAAAATTGAACTAAAAATCAAAAGTTGAAAAAAAAACTCAAAATCTTTTGATTTTTTGTTAGAAAATGGATATATGATGTTAGATCTACTAGTTTTAGGCTAAACCCAGTTGAAAACAAATTAAAACACAGCAAAAACGAGCTAAAAATGAGTTGGCCGCCATTGTTAGGGTTTGACATAAGCTTGGGTGTGTTGGAGAAGATGAAGGGTAAATTACGATTTTGTCCTTCATTGAATAAATCTACCACTACTATAAATAAATATTATAAGTCTACCACTACTACAAATAAGTCTACCACATATTATAAATCTACCACTACCACATATTATAAATCTACCACTATTATAAATAAATCTACCACAACTGTAATTAAGTAAGGTCATTCTAGTAAAACTCTGAAAAGATTTAATAAGTCTACCACAAAGACAAATAAGTCTACCAAATTTAATAAATCTACCACAACTTTAAACAAGTCTACCATAGAGCGAAACCATAATTAAGTCTACCACCACTAAATATAAGTCTATCAGATATTATAAATCTACCACTACTATAAATAAGTCTATCATCGCTAAACATCAATAAGTCTACCAATCAAAAAATTAAATCTACCATCACTACAAATAAGTCTACCGATCATAAAATTAAGTCTACCAGTACTACAAATAAGTCTACCACATCTTATAAATCTACCACTACTATAAACAAGTCTATCATCGCGCAAACCATCAATAAGTCTACCACTACTACTAATAAGTCTATCACTAACAAATAAATCTACCATAACTATAAATAAGTCTACCATCGCACGAACCATCAATAAGTCTACTAATCACAACAATAAATCTACCACAACCACTAATAAGTCTATCACTCAAAAATAAATCTACCACAACTTAAAATAAGTCTACCACTACTTACAATAAGTCTACCACTACTATAAACAAGTCTACCACTACCTGCACCGTAATAAGTCTACCGACCACTTTATAAATCTACCACTACTACAAATAAGTATACCGATCCCAAAAATTAAGTCTACCAGTAGTACGAATAAGTCTACCACATATTATAAATCTACCACAACTATAAATAAATCTACCATCGCGTACACCGTAATAAGTCTACCAGACGTTTAATAAGTCTACCGTAACAGAATGGTAGACTTATTTAATTCTGGCGGGAAAAAATTTCTGCTTCATTAATGGCAGTTTCGTAAATACGTTTTTTGTCTTCAAATGAAATAAKRTTAACATAGGAATTAAAAWWTTTTCAAGGTCATTCTAATAATATTCAAAGATAGAGGTCATTCTAGTCCAAATCTTTGCTTGACAAGGTCATTCTAGTAAACCACCCTTTAAATTATGTTAGATTACTTTTACGAGACGAGGTCTTAAAACGAGATCGATGTATGAAATGGGCCTCGAAATAGAGACATCTGCGAATTGGAAAAAGTAGAAAGTTGGATAGCTGGAGAGCTAGAAAACTGGAGAGATGGAAATCAAGAGAGCTAGAGAGTTAGGGAGCTAGATTCGAAATTCAAACGACATAATGCTCGGTCAAAAAAAAGTGTGATTCACACCTAACTCTCTAGAAAGATACGAGCAATAATTTTTTTTTTTGTACTGTTGATCAAAAAAACGTTACGTTTCTATTCCAATTTTAACTTTTTTCCCTGATTCTTCAATTCTCTTGGTGTGATCTGAATCAATCCGGATTCCAGACCCACATA